TTCCTGAGATAACTTCCTGGGGACCATTGGCTTGTATGTGAATTTAAGATCTGTATCCAAAACCTTTCCTATTGTTTCTTTTGAAACTCCTTAAACTTCTCCTGAGCTTTGCATTAAAATTCATATTGTATTTTGAGCGATCAGCTATTATGTGGGTTATTTAGCTCCATTAATTCTAAGCATGGCTATATGGGCTAATCAATAATATATATGACCATAATCTTAAATAAAGTATCCCACAGTATTTTAATGGTAGCTCAAACTACTAGACAAAAGAGAGAAGAAGATCAATTTTATAGGATTGATCATTAACAGGTGTGGGGGAATTGGGGATATGCATGTGTGGACAATAATGGCAATCATTATTCGAAACCCAGCCATGTAATGAAAATAGCTATTCATTGCATCAAGACCGATTTCAGACTGCATACAGCTGTCAGGCATGACATCGGATATGGGTAAGAATGTCTTCATGTTCAGAAATGCAAGTTGCAAAGAATTTAACAGCATAAAAAGATCCATCTATATCTATATCCAGGGCTTTTTTTCTCATAGAATGCCCAGAACGGAGTTCCGGCACCTTTTTTGGATGGAACCTTGTAGGGTAGGCAAGGCGGGTTGTATGACGTGTGTGAGTTCTGGTACTTTTTTTTTTTTTTTAGAAAAAAAGCAGTGTCTATATCTATATCTATATCATCAACACACACATACATACACACATTATATTATGTCTATATATATGTCTATATATATGTATATACGCACACATTCACACGCACACATATCCCAATAAAATCTCAAAAGATGTAAAAGGAATCTAAAAGATCTAAAAGATCTTTATTTCACATTAAAATGATACAACATGCATAGACTTCTGTTCCAGGAGACAGTAATGACTTTTTTCAAATTTTATCTGCTGGTCCTTTTTTGTAACTATGTTTCTAGGCTGAAAAACAATATAAAACAAGATAAGTTTGATGTGCATTATACGTGTGATATTAATCTTCATGAATGAAGAGAGAAACAGTAACTCAAGTGTGGCATAACCATTAATGAAATATTCTGTCACTGCCTCTCCTGTGAACTGAAGATGGATGTCATAAAAGATGAGTCATAATGTGTAAAACTGTACAGAAAAGAACAGAAGCTTTTTTTAAAAAAAAGTCAGAAGCAGCAACATTATTATTGTAAAAAAAAAACCAAAATTCATCACTGTGGGAGAACCAATTTGCATGCTGGACCGAATGGCACACATATGCTTTACTGTAAGTATTGGAGTATGCTCAGGAACAAACAAATATTTGGAGCATTTTGCTTTTTTATTTATTCAGCAAGTAAAATGTTGGGTACAGTACTATGTGACTTCAGTAGACTGCTTGAAGAGAACAAAGGTTAGAGAACAAGGAATCTGATTATAGAGAAAATATGGAGATTATTAAGATTATCCCCCCCACCCCAACGGCTATGGACTGATCATTAATGGCTGACTGGATGCTGCTAGAGCTGGCTGGTGCAGTAGCTGTCACTCAGCAAGTAGTGAAATTAATTTATCTTGTAAGGTAAGACATTGCATATGCTATTCTAGTTTTAAGCATATGTGCATTTTGGGACAAAGAACCCTTTAACAGAAATGGTTCAGGAGGTTTTCAACATTTCACTTCATACTATTTTGAATCAAAAAATCGACAATTTCGAAGATAATTGCAGAAAATAGGTTGTTTCCTGGCTAGACAAGTAAAAGGTTTCATTCAGTTCCAGCAGACAAATATCATTTTGCAATTTTGTCTAGATTGCTCTACATGTTATTTATATTGCTTGAGCTGGTGGTTTTAAGAAGATAACTGCTAACCTTTGGAATAAATATCTAATATCATGTTAACTAGGCATCTCAGAGCATACTACCCCCCATTCCAATCCTTAACCCTTCCACTCCATAAAACAGCTCCAAATTACAAACTGGGTGATAATTTGAACCATTTGGAGGGATGCCATGGGAGAAGGGTCAGGATGAAAGTGGAGCAGTACCTCCCAAAGGTTTCTTATCTTCTTTGAAAAAAGAAAAAAATGGCGCTACCCAAATATGGACATTTTGCCTTCAAATTTGGCAGTAGCCTGTCAAAGTTTGAGAGTAGCTATAGCCTGTTCCTGGTTGCTCAATTTATTCCAGAAGATTGCTTTGAAAAGCCTCATTATTGTATTACATAACAATTCTTCACATGATTTAATCTGTCATAATCCATATCCTAAACTAGGAGATTTAAAGTAGAAACCCCTCAGAGAGTTCCAATTAGGATAGTTTGTTAAGTTCACTCATAAATGGACACAAGGATAATACTCAACATTAACTGTGGTGCATAAAATCATGCTATTAGACTTCTTCATAGAAAAGAGAGTTCATACAGACTCACAAAAGTGGGAGGGGTGTTTATTCCTGAAAATCTGATTTCAGCAAGAATGGCAAAAGTAAACAAAGAGAAATGTGAAAGTTCTAGAAAAAAAATAATCACCCTATAAATTAGCGGTGAGGAACTATTTCTGAATTGTTGGTTGCATTTCATTTCATATAGTCCTCACTTAGCAACCAGAACTGGGAATGACAACTCCACAGCTAAGCAGAAAATCACACACAACCCTGACAGTTTTACAATGTCACTTCCCATTCAGTCATTAAGTGAGACATCTTGTGACTGTGACTTCTGCTTTAACTTCTGCATTCTCTATTAATGCTGTTTGTTGGAAGCTAGTTGCGAAGCATGCAAATGGCAATCATATAATTGCAGGACATGATTGTAAATGCAAGCATTGGTTGCAAAGCTGCTTTATTTTTTACATTGTCCCTAAACAAGACAAAGACTACCTGTAGGCCTCTAAGTGCTGTGGGGGCACATCTATTGACATAATGGTCCTTGACTGAATCACAGTGCATGAATCACAGTTGTGGAGAGAGGCTTTATTTAGCTATATTTAACTATATTATTTAACTAAACATTGCATTTCTACGAGAATTTTTAATTGAACTATATCTTTTGGCAATCGATACAGGCATAATATGACAAGTGAAAATATCATGAATAACATATTTGCAGTAAGTATAATATTCATCATCCATCAATATTCTCATTGCATATCAATTTTCCTGTTTAGATTTTCATTTAACATATAGACTTTGATTTGTTTAGTTTCTGCAACATATTTATCATAAATTGGTAATAATTTAAAAATAAGGCCGAATGAGTGTTCTGAATTTTATAAGCTTTTAAATTTCAGTCAGGTCTCTCACTTTCCCACTTTATTTTTTAATTCCCTTTGAACTATATTACTTATCTGAAGATACTGGAAAATGGCAAAACAGCCTGGCCCTCGGTTGTTAACAAAGAGATAGTGCTATATGTTTATCATTTTTTATTCAGACTATATGCTGAATATATTTACACTGAGGGAGGCAAGATTGGAAGAAGATGACATTACTTTGATATTGATGACATTACTCTGATACTGTAGCTGACTATGCAAATGAGTTGGAAGTTCTGGTAGTGAAAGTAAAGAAGCCCAGTGAAAAAATGGAACTAAAATTAAATACCAAGAAGAACAAACTAATGACAACAAATACAGCTACCAGTGTTAGAACTGGCAATAGACACACTGAAATTATGAATAGCTTCTGCCTTTTTGAATGGACCTTCAATAGGTAACATTTCTTCTTCAGATCATCACTGGAAATATGTGAGAGGTAAAATATATATTAAAAATAATAGATTTTTTCTTTTAAAATCAAGCAATGGTAGTGAAGAATATAGTATTTGATCTTCCATAATCCCCAGCAATATGACTTGAGCTTGTGTTCAATGAAAGATTACAGGAATTAAAGTTAACCATACTTGCAGTAACCTAAATTGGAGCAAGTTACGACTAATTATTTCTTTTCTCTTTGGGAATGAAAATTTCCCTACACTTCTTTTTGCCTCTGAATAAATAAGATTTAAGCAGCCATTTCTACATAGATTTGCTAAAATCTAGGATTATTGGGAAAACTTGGCCTGGTTACTGCTTTATTTCAAAAATGAAAGAAATAAAATTCTTAGTAATATTGTCACCTTATATTCATAAGTAAAGCTTTTGCTAAGTCTCTTAATTCAGAATGTTTAACCTATCTATAATTGATAACCTTCCAGTGCTTAATCAAATTCTAATTCATAAATGAATAACAGAGATGGCGGCATTTTGGAAAACTCGTTAAGTGTCAAAATCAGTCATCCAGATTATGCTCTTTGTGATCCTTATTTTTCTGTTATAAATTAAGGCACACTAAATAATTCTAAAATAACTCAGAGTAGTCAAAATATTTAAAAAGATAAGATTAAAAAACATAGAGTGATTACATACGTGTAAATAAAGAAAAAATAAGTCCCAAACTTGACTTTTAATGCTTCTGGAAAATATATTGATAGAATGAACAAATTTCACTTTTCTAGTAGTGATGGGGCCAGTGGTGGAATTCAGCCAGTTCACATCACTTCGACAGAACTGGTAGCTAATTTTTTGTTGCCCAGGCCCAGAATGGACTTTCCGAAGCAGCATCCACACAGAGAACCGGTTGTTCACATATTGAATTCCACCACTGGATGGGGCAGATATTATATGTTGGTATCAAGTCTGTGCTCCTTTACTCTTTATCTGCAGCGTCTCCTTTTTTCTGCCTCCTGCAGTCTCAGTTTATCACCCCTATTAACAATATTTTAGTTTTTTTTTTTTTATGGCAACCATTACAAGGCTAGCAGACCCAATCTCTCTCTGACATCTTAGTTAAGTTAAGGAGAGACAAGACATGTAAAAAAAACCTCCAAAGAATGTTTTGGTTCAATAGACCTGTCTATCAAAAGACCACAGAGGTTCAGATCTCTAAACATTCATTTACAAATCACTCCCATTGGATTAATTCAGAATTGCTTCTTGGGAAGCACTGATCTCCTGGTGACAGCTACACCAACTGCATCACCCACCTGAACTGCCATCCATTGTTATTCTTCTTGGTAGATATGATCCTTTGCCACAGAGGCAGAGCAAGAGCAGGTCTGCAAAGGAGGAATTGATGTTTTCTTGCTCCCAAGCCTCCCCAACTTGTCTAGCAGAAAGAGGATGCACAAGCAGAATATGTTATCACTTGCTGCATTCAGTTCCTCACAGACTCCCTTCTAGCTAGTGCTCAAGGGGGAAGTTTGCCTTCCTGTTGAAATGAAACTGCTCCCCCAGGAGCTTAGAGGAGTGTTGTGACCTGCCCTGTGGTTTGTTGGGTTTCCTCTCTCCACGCTGAAAAAAACCAAAATGTACCTATGAAGGATATAGAAATATTTATGTATGTTATAAAGGTAGCAGAATAATCCTTGAGTGCTAACTTTGGGCCAAAGTCACACATTGGTGAGAGGTATGAGATCCACATTTCAAAGTACAATGTTATGGAACTGGTTTAGGGCAAGAATGGAAAGATTGTCTACTGCAGTGGTTCTCAACCTGTGGGTCGGGACCCCATTTGGGGTTGAACAACCGTTTCACGGGGGTCGCTAAACAAGGCTGTCCGCCATTTTTTCCCCTTTTCTTTGGCCACGCTCCTGGCACCTGGTGATGTATAAGTGGTTGGGGGTCACCACAACATGGGGAACTGTATTATGGGGTCGTGGCATTAGAAAGGTTGAGAACCACTGGTCTACTGCAACATGGCTAACTGACAGTTCGATTCCCACTCAACTAACTCTGCTTCATACACTGGTAGCACCTAGCATGATATGTTCCATTCTAGTAATCATTTCCATATTTTGTCTCCCAAATCTTGTACTGAAAACTAGGAAGTTACTATTTCACTTGCCCCCACCTCCCAGTGGAATAAATAAAAAATAATATATATTTTTATTGAAATAGTAATAGTGGTAAACTTGGAAGGGACCTTGGAGGTCATCTAGTCCAACCCCCTGCTCGGGCAGGAAACCCTACACCATTTCGGACAAATGGCTGTCCAGTCTCTTCTTAAAACTTCCAGTGTTGGAGCATTTACTGCTTCTGGAGGCAGGCTGTTCCACTGATTAATTGTTCTCACTGTCAGGAAGTTTCTCCTTAGTTCTAGGTTGCTTCTCTCCTTGATTAGTTTCCACCCATTGCTTCTTGTCCTGCCTTCAGGTGCTTTGGAAAATAGCTTAATTCCTCTTCTTTATGGCAGCCCCTGAGATATTGGAATACTGCTATCATGTCCCCCCTTGTCCTTCTCTTCGTTAAACTAGACATACCCAATTCTAGCAACCGTTCCTTATATGTTTTAGCCTCCAGTCCCCTAATCATCTTTTTTGCTCTTCTCTGTACTCTTTCTAGAGTCTCAACATCTTTTTTACATCGTGGTGACCAAAACTGGATGCAGTATTCCAAGTGTGGCCTTACCCAGGCATTGAAGAGTGGTATTAATACTTCACGTGATCTTGATTCTATCCCTCTGTTAATGCAGCCTAGCACTGTGTTGGCCTTTTTGGCAGCTGCAGCACACTGCTGGCTCATATTTAGGTGATTGTCTACTAGGACTCCGAAGTCCCTCTCACAGTTACTACTATTGAGCATGGTGCCACCTATGCTGTACTTGTGCATTTGGTTTTTCTTGCCTAATGTAGAACCTTGCTTTTTTCACCATTGAATTTCATTTTGTTAGTTAGTGCCCAGTGTTCAAGTCTGTCCAGATCCTTCTGTATCTGAAGCCTGTCTTCTGGAGTGTTGGCTATTCCTGCCAGCTTGGTGTCATCTGCACATTTGATGAGTTCCCCATCTATCCCTTCATCCAAATCGTTGATGAAGATGTTGAAGAGTACTGGGCCCAGAACAGAGCCCTGGGGCACCCCACTACACACTTCCCTCCATATAGATGCAGTTCCATTGAGGACCATTCGCTGAGTACGGCCGGTCAGCCAGCTATGGATCCATCTGGTGGTGGTTCTGTCTAACCCACATTTTTCTATCTTGTCAAGTAGTAGGTTGTGATCTACTTTATCAAATGCCTTACTGAAGTCCAAGTAAATTATGTCCACAGCATTCCTCTGATCCACTATTTTTGTCACTTGGTCAAAGAATGCAATAAGATTTGTCTGGCATGATCTATTTTTGACAAACCCATGTTGGCTTTTAGTAATGACTTTGTTTGCCTCTAGTTGTTCATTGATTCGTTGTTTGATTATCTTTTCCAGGATCTTCCCAGGTATTGAGGTCAGGCTGATAGGTCTGTAATTTCCTGGATCCATTTTTTTTCCTTTTTTGAGGATGGGAACTGCATCAGCTCTTTTCCAGTCCTCTGGTAGTTCTCCTGTGTTCCAGGATCTTTGAAAAATATAGTTCAGTGGCTCCGATATCACATCTGCCAGTTCCTTGAGAACTCTGGGGTGTAATCCGTCTGGTCCTGGCGATTTGAACTCATCTAGGCTGGACAGGTGCTCACTAACGATTTTCTTGCCTATATTAACTTGTGTTTCTGTTTTGTTTTTTATGGCACTATTTTTGATAGGTTTGATAGTATTGTTGCAATTGGAATGAGAAAATCTTACCTATTTCTGTCTGTTCTGTTATGCCTTTTTTTAATATACATAACCCACAGTGTCTGTAACATATGAAAACTTTTTAGTAGGCCACAAAAGTGGAAAACCAGAAGGATTTGTCTTTTTATAGGATTTTCTAGGAATTCATCTCAATTGTAGATGTTGGAAGAGGTAGTTAACTTTCAAAAAAATTGTTTGGTGGGTAATTATTTGACTGAAGGAAAATCAGCCCCAAACAAAGAGTTCTGTCTGATGTTCTGTCTGGTGTTAATCTATTTAGGAATAACTCTTTGGGTCATTTGGATTACTTTTTACACAATTGTTATCCCTCCTCTATGGCTCATTAACATGGTCAGAATGTTTTGGAAGGCGTACTCCCACTTTGACATTCCATTTTTTAAAAGTAATCAATCTAAAGATCCCCTCTCTCTAAGTGTAGGTACAATTCCACTCTACTTTTTTTTATCAATGCAACTACTGTACTCCAAAGTAGATATATGATGAATTAAAACAATTTACAATAAAACATTCCTACATTTTTTTAAAACAAAACTAAACAAGCTAAAGATCAATAATCACTTTGAGCAGTTATCCAAAATTAGCAAAGTCTTAAGATTCATCTTTCCTCAGTGCTGGATGCTTGCAATGTTTTTCAACTAAAAGCTGACTCAAGATGGTACCAGTTTTGAATGCAATTGGGTCATTATGTAAATTGAGCATATATTTGTATGAGATACTATCTAAATCTGTAAAGCAAGCACTTCAGTACAGTAAGATTGAACCTAACCCTCTCCTTGAAGTAGCAGTTTATTGAAAGATGAAATCTCTCATTTATATTCCGAATATACAATCTCATGTTTTTCTCTGCTTATTATTTTTGTTGTGAATTCATAATTTGACTGAAATAAATTCAGCTGACATAGCAGAACATATGCATACATCATCCTGCACGTAATTCTTTTTTTTTTTTAAGTGAGTTTCTTTTTGGCTGCAAAAGACTATCTCTATAGGAAAAAATGGCCCTCCTTTTCTCAGAAGCTGCCTTTCATTTGTAGTAGTAAAGTTTTCCCCTTTTCTTTTACACTATTCATAAAATAGGTTTTACTGTTTGATGGTTTTGGTCTTCTATCAGCTATCTGGGTTTGTTCCAATTATTTCTTTTTCAGCAATTTATTGCATGCCTTTAATACACCATTTGTCAGCCATTTGTCCGAAATGGTGTAGTGTTTCCTGCCTGAGCAGGGGGTTGGACTAGATGACCTCCAAGGTCCCTTCCAACATTATTATTATTATTATTATTATTATTAATCATCGTACAGTCAGCCAGATGTTCAGACTGGATTTGGCATTTTGTCTACCTATCGAGTCCTTACTCAGGGATAGGCAGATGTGGATGTTTGATGGTATTACAGGATTATTATTATTATTATTATTATTATTATTATTATTATTATTATTATATCCTTTCCTCATTTAATGGAATGTGCGTGATGAAATCTATTGTTCATTTACAAACAAGATATGCATTTAGTTTTATTTTACAAAGAGTTGGAACTGATAAAAGAAGGGCAAGTTCTTTCTATGGTTATGTATAAAAAATTAAAATAGTTTCCTATTATCTATGGCAACCAACTGTGAGAAGTCTAACAATGCAATGCAATGCAATTTTTCAATAAGATTGTGTAACTTCTATGTGAGAATGCCAATGGACAGCAGAAATATCATTTGGGTTTCATACAAGGCAGCTTCTAAAATATATAATCTTTTTAAAATGTTGAAGATTACTTTTAATTGCGTGTACCGGTTTGTCTTCTTCAGTTCTGGTTTATACCCAGCAAGTCAATATTGATTTAACAAGACTCCTTCTCCCTACCGTACCCATGGTTCTCTTTTTTAAAAAAACAACATCTACAACTCTGTTTAAAATGCATCAAGATTTATCAATTATCAAATCTTATAAACCAGAATACTGATATTTACAAAGATTTAAGGATCTAACATGATTATCAGGTTGAGAAGGTGCTTTAACTATACTTAAAAGAGAAAGAGAAAAAATCCCAGAAATTTCAAGGTCAGATGCCCAGTAATAGTGTAATTTGGATTACTTTTCAAATTATTATGGGTTTTATTAATCCAAAAATCAAACATGAAAGAACTGAAGGTGCTTGCTCCATCTTATAAAAAAAAATAATGTTTTCCACGTTATCATATATTGTTAACATAGCTAGCGAGCTAGCTAGCTAGCTAAATGATAGATAGATAGATAGATAGATAGATAGATAGATAGATAGATAGATAGATAGATAGATAGATAGATAGATATGACTGCCCATTTAGAATACGAACAACTCTGGCCAGTAACAATCAACAAAAAATATTTATTTATTTATTTTTCATACTTCTTAACCACTCACCTCCCTCAGAAAATACAATAAAGTTATATTATTAATAAAGTTGTGGTATTGTACTGTATTGCATTCTATTGCATTGCATTGATTGCATTGCATTGTATTGTGTTCTTTATAAACCAACCAGAATGCATAATTAAAATGTCTGTAGTATAATAATAAAGGCACTGTATAATAAGCTTGCAACACAAATCACACCTACTTTGAGCTTATTTCGGTCAAGCACCTGAGGGGAAAACTGCAGCTTTCCAGAAAGTCAAAATGGTTGGGACCTTCCAAATCCCAGGTAGAGATTTTTTTCATAGGCTAGGAATTGC